TGTGGACAGCACTCGAAATGCTAACTCTTTGTTATTATTTATTATTAATAAGCAATTAATCCTGTTCCATGAATCAATAGTATTTGCATGTACTATTCATACATTTGTGATTATAATGAAGACAGGAGCTAGGTGGCTGGAATGAGGCCCGGGTCAGAATCTGAACACCCAGGCTGGGGTGCTGCTGATAGCCAGATCCGGGGCTGCCGAAGTTTCTCCTGACGATGAATATGGTGAGTCCCAGAGCCCCAGGTGAGCCTGAGCTCGGGAGGCCCCTCACTGGAGGGAGTAAAGGGATGGGGTGGGGCAGGAGGAGGCTGGAATCGGGCAGGTCCCTACTGATGCCGGCCCCCGTACCTCACATCCTGTTGCTATCTTATAAATGCCGCACAGCAAGAAAAATCCTTAGTGGGTGAAGAGGAGGAAGTGATCGCACAGAAATGCCTACTTCTTCTCCCGCAGACTGAAAAATCCTAGCGACTCAACAAGGATATATTTTCCAAAAGGCATAAGCTGAAGCTGTAATGACCGGCTCGTACATTCTTTCTCATCCTAGCAACAGCCCCCTCGTGCTGATAAAGGCATTAGGAGTCTCATGTAGAAGATGAGGCCCCGGGGGGGGGGGGGGGGGGGGAGGGACGGGTGATGGAACTTTTATGGTGACACAGTAGGGAAGGGTAGGAAATGGGATCCCTCATGAGCCCGTGTGACACTAAAGTATCTATTGTTTTCACACTGCCATGCTGGCTCTCTCTGTAGCCTCTCTTTGACGGGGATCTACAGATTTCCAGGCACTTCTGTAACACCATTATTTTTCAGAACATTCAGGTGGGTTCTAGGACCCCAGTGATGTCCTCCGCCTTTCCTCATCAAAGGCGAAGATGAAGTTTTGCCATTAACACAACAGGCCACATCCGCCTACTGCATCCTTCAATTCATGATCCCTCATAGGCCATCTGCAACAGTTCTTGCCCAGGCCGGGCCCACCAGCCCCTAGCAGGCTCCGTCCCCTGGCCCACACAGATCACCTGCCAGGCTGGTTTTGACTGTTGCAGGATCTCAGCCAAGTGCCAACCAACCTCAGATGGTTGAATCTCTTTTCTCAAGCCTGGCAAAAACGTCCTCCTTTCTGCTTCGAATTTCCCTTTTTTTTTTTTTTTTTAGCTTTTATTTTGAGGATTGAGCAAGAGCCATTCCAGAATTGCAAAAGATAGTTTCCATGGTTTCACCAACCCAAACACAGGACAAGAAACAATATGCTGCCCTCCAGCTCTATGTGGGAAATGCTGTTACTCTGTCAAAACCCCAGAGATCACCTGCTCCTTGGGCAGAAGAGATTTCAGGAGGTATGCATTTATAGGCCGCGCACATTTCTCAAGAAGCTATTCCACAACTTCCCCAGAATTTTTCAAACATCAAAAAAAGAAAGTTGTACATTAACCAGCTGCACCTCCCTTAATTGCTCATCTAAAGAGAGCAATTAAAACTTGCTGACAGCTTGAAAAACTATCAGAGAGCTAGCAGAAGGTCCCAAGTTTAATAATTAACACATTTTAAAAACCAGAGCCAAATTCAGGCACTTCTAAACGTACATCACTGTGGCGGTCACCTACTAATCCTAAAATTCCAATTTGACCCCCTCTCCCGCCCTCCGTGTGATTTGGCGGGAAATGCAAAAGGGTTTGGAAGTCGGCGAATGTGAGTTTTGGATCCAATCAATTGCTACTTTGTCGGTGTGAAGTTAAAGGTCACCTCCCTGGGCTCCAAGGGCTCACAGCCCTAGTGGAGGGGAAAGTGAACCATTACAAACTCCTGGAGAAGAACCAGGGGGCAGGGGAAAGTAAAACAGAGGCGTCTAATCCAGGGGGGGTTCAGGAGGGCAGTCCTGGGAGACGATATCTCAGCCAGGGTGTGAGGTTAACTAAGTGTCTTTCAGCATGTTTCCTCCTCAAACTACAGAGAATGACTGAAACACCTTCCTCCCTTCCACCGCCCCCCCCCCATACCCCCAGCCTGTCCTGGGCGTCCTCGCTTCTCTCTCTTGGTTTCCTTCATTTCATTTGCTTCAGTGGCTTCAGCTAAAACTTCGCCGCCGCCTGCATCCGTGAGCCCAACTTCCTCCCTGCATTTCCACCTGCTAGACACCTCTCCCTGGCGTCCTCCCGGCACCTCTGACTCTCTGTGCTTCATCCTTCTCCCAAACCTGCTCTTCCCCGTCCCGTCCCTCTTCTTGCTAATACCATCACCATATTCCAGTCACTTGACACCTGTCACTCTGTGAATGAAAAATCCTCAGTACTCATTCATTGACCACACAAAGAACTAAACCTGTTGGGGATGATGTACAAGCCTCCCTACAATTCATCCACCAGACCCCGCCCCCCCTCAATTCTCCACACCGAAGTTCTCGAGGTTTCCTAAATGTGCTACTGTGTTCTTTCAAGTTTGTGATTTTATATCAGCTGTTCCTCAGCTCCAAAGGCTTTCTACATCTAGTCTCCTACTGAACTCCTATTCATCCTTTAAGACCTGCTTCAAATGTCACCTCCTCTGTGAAGTCTGCCCAGATTTTTCTCAGGCAGAGTTCGGCATTCTCTCCAATCACCTTCCCTGGGACTTTGTGCATGCACCACTAAAGCATCTTATCAGAGGTCATGAGTATTTATTGTTCAGGACTCTGTCTCCCATATTAGCTTGTGAATGCCCCCAGGGCAACATCCTTATAATTTATCTTCTATTCCCTTCAGGATAGGATGTGGAACAGGAAGTAAATGGTCATTGCATGAATGAATAATGAATTAATGAACAAATTCCTCTTGTGGCATGTACCACTTTCGACCCTGTATTGTCTTTGTTTGGGTATCTCATCTCCTTTCCTGGATGGACAAACCTTCCAGGGCAAAAGCAATATGATCCATTCTTGCGATGACCCGGTAATCTAGCAATAACTAAGTGGTGTTGCCCTCATGCAGCAGATAAAGCAACTGAGTTAAGGCCTTGGAACCCTGCTTTCTTGGTTTTGAGAACAATGCCTATCCCATGTACTGTTCTTGAGAAAAGGCAGATCTATTCACCTGTCCCCTCTTTTGAGAGTTTGAGGGTGAATGCAGAGGTTCACCACTGCTTGCAAAAATAGCCAAACCCTGGTCTACCCTTCCTGAATGAGCCCAACATGACTAATTTGAGTGATCTTGAAGGTCTAGAGTATGAATCAGAAAGGGCAAAATAAGGGGGGGGGGCGGAACAGAAAAACCTGAATCCATTAGACTTGGGGCAAACGCAGGACTTTGGGGGCCTGGCAAGAGAACCTTCAGTTTCTGTAAGATGGGATGTTATGCAAGGCGGCATCAAGAAGCACTGAGTAAGGGGCACCTGGGTGGCTCAGTTGGTTAAGCGACTGCCTTCGGCTCAGGTCATGATCCTGGAGTCCCGGGATCGAGTCCCGCATCGGGCTCCCTGCTCGGCAGGGAGTCTGCTTCTCCCTCTGACCCTCCTCCCTCTCATGCTCTCTGTCTCTCATTCTCTCTGTCTCAAATAAATAAATAAAATCTTTAAAAAAAAAAAAAGAAGAAGAAGAAGCACTGAGTAATATTTTCTAAAGCACCTAGGTAGCTATGTTTTTAAGTCCAAGTTCCTAGAGGAGAAATATGCCAAAAATACTGACAGGAAAGAGAATCGATATAGCCTTGACCCACCTTAGCATGCCATTGTGCCTAAGAATCTATGTACCTGCAGCACTGGACACAGAGTCTGGCACGAGTGAGCTCAGGAGGGCCCCACAAACAGAAGCGGTAGCCTGAGATGTGACCCAGAGGTGAGAGGCCTAGAGCAGAGGGAGCAGCACAGAACCAGGATCAGCACCCAACATCCAAGGCCTTGGTTTACTCACCAGGTCCAGCAGAGTCAGGGCCCCTCTATCCTGCCCACTCCCGGGGAGCAAGGACTGACCTTGCTCCTGAGACCTGGCCAGGGCAAGTGTTGGCCAACACATCCATGGTTTGGGGAGGTGTCCTAATTACTCCGCAGGCACCAGGAGACCCTGGGATTTGGGCCTAAGCATCCCCACGGTTCTGTTAGGCTGTTCTGGGAGCATTGCTTAATCCCACTAACCTCACCCCACATGGTCCGCCCTCCTCAGAGGGTAAGTTTCCCCACTGACCTCCATCCCTCCCTCTGGCTTCTGTCTTTGTGCCCTGTAGTGTCTCTGTGTCTCAGAGGGTGGTCTCTGTCCCCAACCCTGCCCATATAGGCTAGGCCAGAGTCAAGTTTCTCCATTCCAGCCCTGTTGGACTTGTTCACCCAACTTGTTCATCCTGCTCTAAGGGGGGGGGGGGGGGGGGTGAGAGGAAAAGAGCTATTTGCCCCAAAGGACCGGCTGCCCCAGAGAGACCCATGACAATCACAGAAATACAAAGAGGCAGGCTCAGGACCGGTCTTTGACAATCCATCGCCCCGGGGGCCCAACCCCTGCTTTCGGACCCAGGAGCTGTTCCAGGTCGTTTGCCTGCTACCAGAATTACAACACGTTGTGGTGCACGCCGGCTTTCAACGAGGGCGCTGAGCGTCCAAGTCACGTTGGAGCAAAGGACTGATCTTTGCTTGGAAAAAGTGACGGACCTTGGCGTCACCCCCTAGTAGAAATCTCTCGCCTGCCAGCCCCCTTTCTCCTTGCCTCGAAAATTCCCCCAAGCGTAGGCCTGGCAGCCTTGGGAGGGAGAAGTGCAAAGCCGGGCCCCAAGCTTTCCAGACTTTCAGCCCCCCGCTTCTGTCCAGGACCGCACCAAATCCTGCCCGCGAGGGAGGCTCCGTGCTCGGCGCTCGGGACCCGCGAGATCCCCGCCAGGGCGCAGAGTCTCGGGGGTGGGGCGGGCGGGGCCAGCCCCCACCCCCGCCCCAGGACCCTCGGCCCTCCGCCGCCCGCGCGCCTACCCCTCCCCCACCCCCGGGCGGCCACCTGTCCGGGCGCAGGAGGAGGAAGGAGGGCCGCCGCCGCGACTGACCTGAGATGCCGCCCCCCACCACGACCACGTCGCATTTGCGGCTCATGGCGCTCGCCCCGCTCCGGGCCTCCCCGGTGCCCGCTGCTCGGCAGTCTGGGTCTCGGCCCCCGCCCGCCGCGCTGCTGCCCCCGCGCACTAGCGCCGCCGCCCAGCCGCTATATCGCCCGCCCTGGGCCCCGCCCCCGCCCGCAGCTCCACCGCCCGGACCTGGGGAGGGCGGGCGCCGGGGGCGGAGAGATCACCTGGGGCCTGCAAGGTGGGGGGCGGAGGAGGGAGGGGGAAGGGGGCCTCCCGGGAGCCCTCAGCCCCCGGCCTCCTGCACAGTCTTTATTTCCCACGCGCCTCCCTCGTGCGCTGTCCAGCTGGTGGGCGGGGGGAGGGGGCTGGGAGGGTGGCGCGTGGGGATGGCTCCCTTCAACCCCCCACTTACTCCCCCAAATGGAGCAATACAAATAATAGCAAGCATTCACCGAGTGCTTTCCAGATCCCAGGCACCGCATTAAGCGCTTTGCATGCATGATTCCGGTTAAGGCTTCCAACAACCCATTTTACAGATGAGGAGAGCGAGATAAAAGTAGTGAGGGGCGAAGGCAAGATAAAAAAAAAGCCAGTAAGAGGGGCGCCTGGGTTGCTCAGTCGTTAAGCATCTGCCTTCGGCTCAGGTCATGATCCCAGGGTCCTGGGATCGAGCCCCACATCAGGCCCCCTGTTCGGGGGGAAGCCTGCTTCTCCCTCTCCCACTCCCCTTGCTTGTGTTCCCTCTCTTGCTGTGTCTCTCTTTGTCAAATAAATAAAATCTTAAAAAAAAAAAAAAAAAAAAGCCAGAAAGAGAAAAAGTAAAAAGCAAGGTGGTTCTGAGACCCACTTTGATCCACAGAGCAGTATTGTCACTACCTCGGGATATACTTGGGAGGGATTCCCAGCCCCTCTCATCATCCTTGCAGAAACCCACCTTTCCCCGACTCCGCACCCCTGCCCTCATGCCGCAATGAACTCAGGAAGAGTGAAGCAGAGAGCAGAATTATCTGTAGCCCTGGGGTATGGGTCTGGGAACCTTGGCTTTGCCACACATAGGGGTGATTGGTCAGTATTACAGGAGGTTAAGATGAGACAGCCCAGGGGCACCTGGGTGGCTCAGTTGGTTAAGGGACTGCCTTCGGCTCAGGTCATGATCCTGGAGTCCCGGGATCGAGTCCCGCTTCGGGCTCCCTGCTCGGCAGAGAGTCTGCTTCTCCCTCTGACCCTCTTCCCTCTCATGCTCTCTGTCTCTCATTCTCTCTGTCTCAAATAAATAAATAAAATCTTAAAAAAAAAAAAAAAAAAAGATGAGACAGCCCAGGTAAAACAGAGGTGTATTGCTTCAGGGGACTTGGAAAGCCACCTTTCCAAAAGTGGAAAGAAGCAATGTAGGGTGGCTTTTCAAGAAATAATTGTGTGAAGTGCTTCAGTTCAGGGTAGGGGAACTGTGGGACTGGCGGGGCGGGGCAAGGCCTGGCTCCAGGTCTGGTGAACTCTTTGAAGCAAACTTCCACATCGTCACACCCCAGTCCTGGTATCCACCTGCTACCAAAGCATCCTGAGCTTCTGCCACCCTCAGACTAGAAGAGGGTTTGGGCATATCTGTGACTGAGAAGTCACCTATGGCAGAAGTCGTGGTTCTGCTCTGACCTGATTTCTAGAACTTTCCTCTCTCCTGCTTTGGTGTAAAACAGCCCCACAGCCTGAATGTGCGTCCCCACTGCCCCACCCTGAGGACAACCCATGCCGGCCTTCTCATTGCCAAACCCTGCCTGTCCGCCTCCATCCACAGGGCCCGGAAGCGTCAGGCTTCTTAGCTGTGGACACTCTGTTCCCTCACCTAGACTGCAAGAGAATCTCATGTCCGGTGGGGTAGGGTGAGATGGGTGGAGAGGGTACTTGTAGGGTCAGCTTGGGATCTCTTTGGCATGGCTCCCAAAATAGAAAGTCAGCCTGGCTCCAAGGCATCTGCAGCTTTGAGTTTGATGCCGGCTGACTTTTCTTTCTTTCTTTTTTGAAAGATTTTATTTATGTATTTATTTGACAGAGCAGGAGCACAAACAGGGGGAGCAGCAGAGGGAGAGGGACAAGCAGACTCCCCACTGAGGAGGGAGCCAGACTCCAGGCTCGATCCCAGGACCCTGGGATTATGACCTGAGCCGAAAGCAGACACTTAACCGACTGAGCCACCCAGGCGCCCTATCGTTTCTTGATGTCCAGCTGGTAAGGAGACCAGGACAAGAACTACAGTTCCATGGTGTCTGTGGACAAAACTGACCAGCAAACAGCATTTTCCCCAGGCAAAGGTAATCAGTTAACCTTGTGCCCTATGAGGTAAAAAATGAGTTGATGAGCACTCAGGAGCCTTCAGAGGGCCTCTGAGGTCACCTTATACCCTACATCCAGGCAGTCGGCAGGCCTGCTCAGGGTCCTCAGTCTCCTCAGTGTGGTAACTCCCAGGGTTCATCTTCTCTCTCTTCATTGTGTGGCCTGATGAAGCCTTTAAAAGCAGTGCTTCTCAAACTTGAATGTGGGTACAAATCACCCCGGTCTGGGGTGGGTTCTCCTCTACTCCAGGCCTCTACTCTCCAACGGTTCCAGAATCAGCTCCACGCTCCAGAGCCCCTGACCTACCTCAAGGTGGTCCTAAGGAGAAGGGGTTTGGTTGTTAGACAAGCATTTATGGAATACCTACCTGCTCTGCTGAGACCTGGGGCAGAGATGAACAAGAGCACAGCTGCCCCTGCCTTCTGCCCTCTTGGGGCTCACATTCCATCCGAGAAGACATCCAGGAAGGGTAATCACAAGTGTGATTCTGAATGTTGCTCTGGAACACAGAGCAGGACTAGATAACTAGCCCAGGTAATCAAGGAGGACTTCCGGGAGGAAGTGGCTTTTCTGCTGGGACTTGAAGGATGAACAGGGGTGAATCAACTATTGAGGTGGGCACACCAGGCAGAGTTGAGGCCAGAGCATCGGGAGGACTAGACACAGCCCAGTGTCCGAAGCCCATCTTTGACCACCTTTAGGACTTATTACACATACCACAAAACTAATGGTGAGTAATAGAAAAAGGAAGGGTGAAAAATTAGCAACAAATAAAATGATAGGAAGTGCCATCTAATTTTGCATGTATTTAGGTCTTCTCTTCCCAAGCAGATAATAAATTCCTGCAGAAAGGGAGATTTTACGTTCTTCTTTATTCATCCATCCAAGAATGATTTATTGAGCACCAACTCTGTGTCAGGTGCTGGTCTCATCACTGGAAGTACACCCTTAGAAATAAGAAATGATGCTATCCTCGAAAAGACAAACATGAAAACGGACGATTTTTGATGAGCCCAAGACGTGTTGCAATGGAGTCGAGTTCAACACCTCAACCCAAGAAGTACATAAGAATGCTCCTGGCCCCACGCACTGTTTATTTGCCTTTCCAATTTGATGATATCCATGTTTCGTCAATTAAAAGGAACTTACTCTCCTTTCATTTTTTTTATTAGAAGACTGCCAAAGAGATAAAATGTCCTTATTACTTCTTTCTTGCTGTCCAGCTTTTCATTAGCGGATATTTCGGTGAGCCTTTTATGATGCCACAGGACGTTTCAATAAAGAAGCAGGCTGTGCAGAACAGAGTTCACCAGATATTATCTGAGTTGTACATTTCACTGGTTTTGAACACTGGAAGTTTGACAGGGGTTAGAAAATTTGTTTCAAAATGAGATCTAGGTTTCTTTTTCCCAACTTCTTTGTTACTCTTTTGAAAAACATACACCCAGGGATCAAATGATGGCAGCCAGGACAGCTCTTTGACCGCAATTTTAACAATTTAACAATTGTTAAATGTTATAGGGCCTTTGGGTCTGCCCAGTGAGGTAGCCATCCTCAGCTTGGATCCTAATCTGAGAGTGTCCAAATGCCCTCCTTGGGAACAACGAGAAGGCAAGGGGCAGCCTTTCAGCAGGCCAAGACCTTGCTTTTGGCCTCAAGGATTCGTTTGGTGGGGAACCACATCCTCAAGCAGCCCAAGACTTCAGCTCGACTGAAGTCAGAGCCCTTTACTAGACATTGTGCTAGAAGCTAGAGATCCAACTCAAGGTACAGAGGCCGGTTTAAGATGCCAAAGGAAAGACCTGTCCCAGGGCCAGGGGATCGGTCAGGAACTGGCTCGAGTAGAGTTGGCAGAGAACAAACCAGGTGACAGGTGGGTGCTCATGACTTGCCTTAACAGGCTGACAGCTGTGAAGATGTGCTGAGCTGGCTTTTAGAGTCAAGGCTGAGATGGAAGAGAAATGAATCTTCCTGCCCAAAGAACCAGAGTAGGGCTCTTAACTCCTGTGACTTAATTTCCATAGCACAGGCAAGGCAGGGACAAAGGGGGACAGACATCTTGGCAGAGACACCAAACTCCAAGACTTCAGGAAGATAGAGGTCATACCTCTAGACGCGTTGCAAAGCATGTTGAAAAAAAAACCAAACCCTATTTGCAACATAAGTGCTAAGCCAACTGTACCCAAAGTGATTTTTTATAATGACTGATGCTCAGACTAAGAATATCTCTACAAATCATAATAAGGGCTCCTAAACCCTTTGTTATATAAGGGTTGACATGTCAGGACAGATGATGTGGCAAGGACCGTATAGGACACACAGAGGAAGAGCAAACAGCAAAATATTCAGCTCAGGAAGAAGAGACATTTCCCAAGAACACCAGGGTGAAGGTTTTCACGAATTCTTTTGGGAAGAGGAAATTAGAAATTATTATTAGAGCCCCACTGGATACTAATTACAGGTTGTTGAACAGCATTATTTTCAATTAATTACTCTTATGTATATGATTCTAATTTCATAGGGTGAGGTCACTGATGCAGAATCGGTCCTTTGGTTATCTTTATGTAGTCCTGAGTGAATTCATCTCTCCATGTTTTCTTATAAATAGATATGTGTCCCATACATTAGAGATGATGATTGCAATCAAGAGTCTGGGGACTCTGAGAATCAGATGAGGGATCCCGTCACTAATGACCGCCACACGAGGCACATTCCCAGTGAGGATGGTTACACACTACAAAACGATGCTAATAACTGGGGCTTGAGTTGACTTGAAGTCTTCCGAGTAAGAAATCCAGTTTA